ACATTTATAAGTAAACTAAATTTCAAAAATAAAATTTTTAGATTGGTAAGTCCAGTGGTGTACAAATGTGGAGGGGGTTTGGAATAAATCCCCCCAAGGACAAGAAAAATCCAATTTTGAAATTTTTTAATGAAAAATATATGAAAATGTCTTCATGTGTATAAAATTAAGGATTTTATAAATTATTATAATCTTAATTTTTGGTCCGAGGCCGTAAAGATACAAATAAATGTTTATTATTTACATAAAAACTATTTTTGTGTAGATATTAAGCATTGTTTATCGTCAATATAAGAAATTGTCTCTGTGCTGTGACCTATGGGCTGTGCGTATGTGTGTGTGAGTGTGTGTGTGTGTGTGTTTTTTTAAAGACAATTGAATGTACACCACTGGGTAAGTCGTTGTGTGAAGCGAAGAACTTTTACATATATAAGATAGGTAATTACGATGAGCCGGGCCCAAGACGTCAAGCGGCTATTTTACATTTCTTTATCTCTTAAAGTAACCATTTTAGATTCTGAGTGAATGAATGCATTGATTTTACAATGATGTGTGTTTATTTTTTTTTTTGTGTCTGTCATTCCCTTTTAGGACAGTAAAAGTGCTTGGATTTTTTTCAACAGTATCTTTTCTGATAGGAAAGTGAATCTAAGTGGTACTTTGGAGGGTCAAAAGTAAAACTTTTCCAGTAGTTTTCAAAAGCGTCGTGAAAAACATAAGAAAAATTAAGGAAAAACGGGAATTTTTAAGCAAAATCTGTTTTCGAGAAAATATATTTTGGTTTTTGGTGCAACTCTTAAACAAATAACCGTAGGTACATGAAATTTTGACTGAATGTTTATATTAGAATTTTCTATACACCATAATCATAATATTTTCCAAATATTTTGACTTATTTTGAGCTCTTCAAGGACATTTTCAGTTTCAATAAAACTTTATTTATTAGGTAAAAAGCTTGAAAATTGAATACAAGGCTCCTACTATATTGTTACAATAGCAGTTGAAAAATATTAAAAATCCTAAGCACAATTTTTTTTTATAAGCATTTAAAGTTCAAATTTTGAAAAAATGTTCACATTTAAAATTTAATAATAATTTTGTAGGTAGTTAAAAATTTATAAAATGTTCAACTTTTATAGTTAAGGATTGAAATTTTAAAACAAGATTCCACTTAAGTAGTTAATTCTATTACCAAAAAATCTAAAAAATACACAAGCAGAGTTTATTTTTATAGTCAATTTAAATTCAAATTTGCACGAAATTACATATTAAAAAACCTAAAATAGGAACCTATTTTAGTTATTTTGTTGCGATTGTATAATATTATTCGTGGGTACTTGAAACTTCTAAAGTGTACTATTAAATATCTATGATAGTATCACGGTTTGTTGTTGATGTATAATGCGTTATAAGTACCTAATGGATATTGTGATATGATTAATTTGGAATTTATTATAGGTCAATTTTTTTTTGAATACCATAGATATGTATATAATATGTCTTAAACCTAGACTGACATACCTTCTCCGCTCAGAATAGTTTTTCTTATGCAATGATATTATATCATTGAATTCAAATTTAATACAATCCATTATACAGTGACCCTCTTGTAATCTACTGTACAGCAGAACAACTTTTTTTACATCGGGTTTTTACCAAATTATTTGATAAAGCCATAGCTACAATAATTTAACATTTAAAAAAATGTTGAGAACATTTTTTTTTTTCATGTGCTCCTTTAAAAGTAGTTAAAAATCCCGTATTTCAAGTTTTATTATGATTGATTTAAGAAGCATATAATTTTTAATTTTTGACCATTAGATAATAATATGTGATTAATATTCCTCGAATTAATGTTAAATAATTTATATTCGAAAATATCCGTTCACATATTATTATAGTGTTTTTTTATATATTGAGATATTTAAATCCATAATAGTTATATCTTCAGCTAGTTGTACATACATATTATAACTGAGAATATTGACTTACCGTATTTGGAACGTCGAAAATAATACCGAAAATAGTCACCCTGATCATTTTCAGTGATTATGTCTAAACAAAATATAATTAATTTTATATATTTTTAAAGCTATACCTATTTTTAAAAATAAAAGTAGTAAGAAATGTTCAGATCCCATAATATTTTGAAATAATAAATGATTATTTAAACACAATAATAATTTTATCTAGTGTTATAACTCATAATACATATTATGACCTACCAAAATCCGGAACGATTTTATTTTCTGTATCAGAATCGCTGCATGCTACTCTAAAAATGATCATTATATTATACACTAAAAAAATGATAAGGCATTTGGAAAATTTAGACGTATTAATCATCATTTTTAGATTTGATTAACACTATTTTCAAAGCAGTTACTTTTTACGCAGAACACAGACGAATAAAGTTACAGTCAGGTTAACAATATAGGTTGATGAAATAAATGTAATATATTTATTTGCTTAACTGTTAAACTTTGTGTTTGTTCGTCAAACATGCAAGAACCAATAGATGTTATAGGTACTGTTACACAACTGAATAAACTATTTTACTTCTTCATACGTCATAATTCAGTATTTGCTAGCACTATAACTTATAAGGCATAAGCAGGTGGTCTTTCCATTCTATGAAAACAGTTTTGCGTTTCACGGATTTGAAAATATTGGAAATCCGTAGGTATGCACTAATAATTTAGCTATATAACAGCATGATTTACAAATAGGAACCTAAAGTTGTATATACGTTTACTGTTTACTTGTACCTACAAATTTAAATATTTAGGTACAATAATTAATATACATTTTTACTGATATCTTTTAAAATGTATGCTTAACATTAAGTCCCTCAAGCCATAAGTACTACTGTTGGGTAGTTCCTTAAAATCATGTTAACTCACGTTAAAATCACATAAACACCGCATATATGTCTATTGTAATTTGTAAATAACCTTACAGATTGTATATTTTCTAAATAAATGTTAAAAAAAAAAAAAAAAAAACATTAAGTCATAATAGTAAACATAAATTCAACGTGTTAATTTATTTATATGGAAAATGCCAATCAGGCAATTTATTGTGATTTAATAGACCATTAAAAGCTACCAAGCACTTATTAGTTATTATTATTCAAATGCCTAAACAAGGCAAGGTAACTTATAGGAATTTCAAATATTTAGTTATTACTTATTAGGTACTTATTGTTTTATTTCGTAGTTTTATATTGTTATTATCAGCATTTAGCCGTATTAGTCAAACTTATAATTGTATACAATACATACACATATATGTATATAACAAAATAAGTTAATTTTGATTACTATTATTAAAATCTTTTCATTTAGCCATAAGGGTATATCCTACCTCCAAGACTCTGACCGCAATTACTTATAGCGATAAAAACCGTTTAAAATCGATTTTAAAACTAGTTTCAACCCCTGCAAAGGTTAAATATCAAATGATATTATTAGTTATATCAGTATTACAACTAATATAAAGTAGGAATGTTGGTTATGGACTATTTTCTAGGAAAACAATTAATAATTAACCAAAAATTATTATATTTAAAAAAGTCATATTCTCATATTATACCTATCTAGTTGATAGATCGCTACGACTCATCGTACAATAATACCCATAGTAGTAGTTGAATAGTAATTTCTATTTGTTATATCAAATTTAAATCGAATAGAAATCACTTTTTGACATTTCAGAGAATATAATTATAAACACTTTTTTATAACATCTATTTAAAATTAAATAGAAGTAACCCGTGTCCCGACTAAACCGCTGTCGAATCCGCGCATCCCCTTTCCTATTTGACATGTCGACGTTCACGATCACGTCCGTCAACGGTCGGCAACGTTATATAGTAATACTACTAGCACAGAACAATACTAAAACGCTACTATAGTATGTATAATGTTGTAAAGTGGGGGAAACGCGGCCTCGGAACGGTCTCTGCCGTCAGTCTGCATGCGCGTAGCGGGTTACTTCTCTCGTAGCACGGAGTATAGTAGTTATGCGATATCACATTTGAGACTTAAAAATACAGTCTCTGAGATATCGAAATCACCTTTATGCACACAGGGTAGTATCTTTGCAAATATTTAAGTTTTTAATCTCCAACGCATAGATAAAAACTCTTTCAAAAATCTTAGATTTTAACCTCAAATCAGTCAAATCACTTTTTCTCAAAACTAAAAATGTTGAGTTGTAATAGTCTTGATCCAGAGGTGTGAATTAAGAGCATTGTGGGTTGGTGGGTGGTCCCCCTGCAGTATTGGGTAGTAACGTAACGAAAGTAACGTTTTACTGTAACGGCGTTAGTTTGCTTGTAACGAGTTACGTAATTTCATTAGAATTATTTCCGAGTACTTAACGAAAATGTAATGTAAATTACTTTTGAAAAGTAATTTCTATAGAATAACGTGTTACAGTTTCGAATTATTAAGTACCTATCTACTTATTGAGAATCGAAAAAAAAATATATGTATAATGTGGGTATCATTATGTTTACCAATCTAATATGTATATATATTTAATTTTAACTCACCACAATTCAGTTTTCAATGGTTTTGACATTTCAAATATCTAATTTCAACATACAAATCACGAAAACAGTTAATTACATTTAATATTTAATTTGATTCCTTTAAATAGGTTTCCTATGAATAGTTTGTGTGGAAGACCAAGTTTTATACTAACTTATTATTTATACAGGTTTTATAAAGAATTTGCTTGTTCAATTTGCCTGCAGAAGATAATTGCCAAGAAATATAATTTTTTTTTTTTTTGTAACGATAAAGTTATGACTTATGAGTTACTTTTCTATTCGAAAAATAAAGTAATTTCATTACAATTTTATTTGAGTAACGAGTAAAGTAACGTAATTACATTTATCTCTTAGTAACGTCCTCGAAGTATGGTTTTTTAAGTATCAATTGTTATTAATATAATTTTATATATTTTTTTAAACATTTCGAGTTATTTTTACAATGTGGCCGATATCCTCATCTTCAAATTCAGACAACGATGACGAAAATATTATCATTCGTCGAAGAAGAATATTCCGTCCAAGAATTAATAATAATTTTATTGCTGAATATGAATACAACGAACGATTTAGAATGAACTCAGTGAAGTTGGAGTATATTGTCAGCCGTATAGAGCATCTTCTAGTTCATCATGCAAACAGAAATCATGCATTATCCCCTATTCAACAAATACATTTATGCTTGTATTTTTTGGGAAGTGGTACTCAGTATCACGCTATTGGTTACATGCATGGTGGATCAAAAGCTACTGTTTGTCGTGTAGTAAGAAATGTGACAAAAGCTATAAATGAGGTACTTTTAGGTACGATGGCCTAATAATATGGTTATACTGATGTTCATCGCTTCCATAGTATAGCTACAATACCTTTAGTTGTAGGTTGTGTTGATGGAACTTTAATTAAAATTGACGCACCATTAGTAAACGAACCTGTGTTTGTTGATAGACATTTCAATCATTCTGTTAAAATTTAAAAATTTAAAAAGTGATCATCCAGACTTGTATTTATTCCATACATGAATATAGATTGAATACTTAAGTAGAGATTACAAATACGTACACTTATGTAATTGTATAACATTTGCACACCACTGGTATGTGTCTGTACTAATTAATTTATATCTACTTTACAACATAAAGTTATGTGTAAAATAATATATTTAGTCAGGGGGTAAATGTAGCACTACAAACCATGGTAGGAAATGTCCAAAAACCGTGTATCATTAGGTATGTTTTCATATGCACCATAACTTAATAACGTAGATGTAACTAAGAAACTTGCCATTGCTCTTTTCTTATAGTTTTGCCAAAACGTATCACGAATATATTATGTCCAATAATTTTCTTTATTTTCCGGTAATTTGTGACCCACACTTTTAGCAGTGTCTAAAACTTTTTTCCAAGCGTTTTCTATGTCTTGGTGGGGAAGTTTACTTGAAATAGCTCCAAACAATACATATTTAAGTTCCTTGATGGATTCAAGGAGTATTTCATTAGTTATTTTGGTCATATTAAAAATTTTAAAGTTTAATGCTTTCTTAATTCTGATTTTTTGACTTCTAGTTCAAAATTTGATAAACCGAATATTATCACACATCCCTTATCAGTATGTAAAAAGTTAAAACAACTGACTTGTAAGACACTATTAATTTGACAAGTCATTTTCGACTTGATTATACTTTTATGAAACGCCTATTAATTGGACTTGTCTGTTTTTACATGTTACTTGTCACTTGTAATATTTTACAATTTGTTTTTTTTATGAAACAGGCCCCTGGTCAAATGTACAATTATTGGAGTATTTGACAAGTACATCCAGTCGTGGGATTCCGGCTGGGATGGATAGGTATTAGGTATGCATTACCTAACTCTTAACTTAAGTCTTAACACCCGTTAATATTTCCCTAGGAGAAGTTAACATGTAATTATAAAACATTATATTAAGATTGTGTAGATATTAGACGTATAGCAAATTAGGAAATAATATAAAGATAACCCCATTTATTTTATTTATGCAGTATGTACAATGTACATAGGTATATGGTTTTAATATTTTTAATGTAAAAAAGTTCAGTTCTGGTGACTGGTTGATATTATAAAAACAGGTTAACTAAACAATATTAATCAAACAAATATTTTCGTATGTATAACAACACCTTTATTCTAGTTTTATAAGGCTGCCAAGCCATTTTTATTATAATTTTCACTTATTGAAGTTTTTTCAAGTTTCACACATTTTGAGTTCAGCCACAAGTTTCATAACACTGTGATTATTATCGTCTATAGATAGTTCGAGAATATTCATAAGCTAACTAGCTGTTCAACTTCTAGTATATACTATATCCATATCAGAGTAAGCTCTGAGTGGAATAAAAATTAAAAACCTAGGAGTTACAGAGATATTTTAGTAAATAAACTAATAAAATATAATTTTTAACTATTAAAGCCAATGATTTTGTTTTACTTAGGTACTCTTAAAATATTTTGATGATTTGTAAAACGTTCGTTAAGTTGTCATTTTATTTTATGCGAACGAGGCAATACTGCAACAGGTTATTTAGATAACAAAAAATATATTTGACTATTGCGCCTTACGAGCACGCAATATCAATGGCATAACTTTTTATTGAGTTTTTTTTTGTGGAGGGGTGCTTGGAAAATAATAATAAATATTTTAAATATCTTTGTAGCATTCAACAACTTTTGGACAGTAAAAATGTTCGATTTTCACTTCAGCATTTTTTTTGATAGGAAAGTGAATCTAATCGGTGCATTCGAGAAGTTAAAATTAAAAATGTTCAAAGCGTCAAGAAAAAAAAATTAAGAAATAATGTGAAGTTTTACTCAAAACCAATTTTTTACAAAATCGGTAGCGGTTTTGTTATTTTAATGTTATTCAAAAACGAATAACTGTAGATAGGTACATGAAAATGTTACTGAATGTTTATATTATCATTTTCTATACACCATAAAAATTTGAAAATATTTTGACTCTTTTTGAGCTGTTTACGGACATTGTCAGTTATCAATTTTCTTAGTTTTTTTTTCTATAAATATCAATAAAATTTGTTGGGTAAATAAGAGTGAATATTTAATGCAAAGCTCCTGATATATTGTTACAATAGCAGTTGAAAAATATTTAAAAATTTTTTTTATAAGCATTTAAAGTTCGAATTTTGACAAAATGTATCATATTTAAAATTTAATAATTATTTCGTAGTTAAAAATGTATAAAATATTCAACTTTTATAGCTAAGGATTGGAAATTTAAAACAGGGGTCTACGTAAATAGGTAAATATATAAATTACTTTATTCACAATAATATCATCAAATATATATATATCATATTCTGAATGACCGTTTTCGCTCAGAATCGTTTTTCTTATACAGTGATATTATATCATTGAATTCAAATTTAACACCATCCATTACAGCGACCCACTTGTAACCTACTGTACAGCAGAGCAACTTTTTTAAATATAAGGTAGGCGATAGCAGATATTTTATAAAAACTATTATATCAGTTAAAGGCTACAAATTACTATATTATACCTATAAGCAGAATAGTTGACTCATACACGACTCGCAAGTTAACTGAAGTCAGTAATCAATCATCAGTGCAGCAATAACCGGGTGTGTTGCGTGTGTCAAACACAAGGGCCCAGGGCCCCAACCCATAATGGGGGGGGGGGGAGGATGATACAATTTTTAAAATATATGGAAAGAAAAAAATAAAACCATAATTTTATTATTAATTATTAATAAAGATTGAACAAGATTGAACAATAAATTTTCAAAAAGGTTTTGTTTTGTACACAACATTATCACGTTTGCGGCCTGTATAACCGAAATTAAAAATAGAAAAATAAGATTAAAAATAAGACTTCCAAGTTTCAAGTATAGCTCTGCTCAATATTGAAAGACAACAACAAATGCTATTAACTTGGAAATATAATTGACAACTTTGCAAACAAAAAGGCAAGAACAATGAATTTTTTAAAGTGAGTGCAGTATTTATTTTTGAGTTTCTAATTTATTAAATAATTAATTATCAAATAACAAATAAATTGAACATACCGTACATTAATTTATACCATACATTAACAGTCAATTAGAAATTAAAAAAAAAAGCATGGCATCACTGACCACTGTACGATGTTTTTTCAAATTGGTGGCCCACTTGGGGAGGTGTTGCATAGCAAATCGAGGGATATTTTCGTTTTTAATTATCCGAGCGAGCGTAGCGATCGAGTGACCCCGCTCGGTGACTCGGTGCAACAAAAATTTAATATACTCATTAGCCTGTTGTCTACCTGTAAATAATTGAAAAACAACTTATATAATATAGGTTATTCTATTATCATAAAGATAATTTCATATAAATGCATAATAATAATAATAATATAAAATTGAGATGGTAGTTATAATTTATAAAATAGCGATATTGGTATAAATATAGAATTAAGACCAATTAAAATGTTTAATTATGGATAGTTAAATTACTGATTGATACAAAATAATATAATATATACTATGGTACCAAAATATTGTTTACCCAATTAAGCTTTAAAGACTAAAGAGGAAAGGAGAACTCAAAATTAATTATGTTATGGACGTTGCGCGAGGCATTATAGTAGTGTTGCGCGCATGCGTATCAACGTAAAATCGCAAACTTTGGATAGCTATAACTTCCAAAATAATGGTTTCCGCAATTTTTTTTTTTGCACCATCGTTCTTAACTCGTCGAAATACGTCCATTTTCAAAAATCTTATAAATGTGCTGGGTTGCTAAAGTGAATTTGTTCCTTTTTTTATGATATTTATAGTTTTTTCGTAAAACTTCAAAAACCAATTACCGTATAGCAGGGGTGGCCAAACAGTCGATCGCGATCGACTGGTCGATCTTGGACGATTTCTAAGTCGATCCCCATTGTTAGAATTTATTAATTATTCTTATATATTTGCCATTTAGTACATACACTTTAATAAGTATTGAATACATATGTTTCGGATTAACCTGTTAGTGTGAAATGGCATTTTCTCACATGAAAGTTATAATTTATAGAAGCTGAGTAGGTTAGTTTTAGACTTTAGCACAGCGTCTTCGCTTGGTCATGATGTGCAATGACACGCTTCTACATCAACAATAAAATGTTAATACATTTTAAAATTACTTAAAAATTTAACATGTAACACTCATTTTAGATAATTTAACACTTTAATTTTATTATTTATATAAGTATGTTTATTATTAATATTAGATAATTTTTTCACATTAGTCGATCCTAGAAAAAAAAATATACCCTCAGTAGTTCTCAATCAAAACAAGTTTGACCACCCCTGCCGTATAGGTACCTACTTTAAATTATCACAAAAATCATTATATGACCATTTTTCATAAGACAAAACATTCATAATATTTATTTTTTTTATCTATTTGTAAGCAAGAGAAATTTTTCGATTTTTTTAATTTTTATTGATAATTAATTTTTCGCTCAGTCAAAAATCTTAACAATTTAATAAGAAGATCGTAATAAGTTGTTACAATAGCAGTTTCAAAACATTCAAGATAGTATACACGGTTTTTATATTTTATTTATACGCATTTAATGTTCAAATGTTGACAAAATGTATCGTAATTACGAAAATTTGCAAATCATTTTTTACTTACGAATCTAAAAAATGTTCAAGGATAATAATATTATATTATATTTTTGGTTATAACCGTGGTTTAATTCGTGATGCAGTAGATATCACCTATCATATCACTGAAATACTGAACGAGCAGATAAGGCTGACAAGCTAGACTGCTGTTGCAGCTGCTCAAGGCTCACTAATTGTCTGTGGTCAGTACTACACTACTACACTACTACTCTGTAGTCCACTACAGTCCATCTGTTTGCGTTTGATGTGTTGATTATTAGTTACCATTGGTGTTTGGGCTCTGACCAGATACGACTTCTGCAACTGTATACATAATATATACATATAATATTATACATTTACGTAATATTGTATTAATACGCATTTTATTTATAAACCGTTGAATAGTTAATGAAAAAAATTCTTTGACCCAGATAGGCGATATTGTGTACATGAATGTATTGTAGGAGTAGAGTATTGCGTTTAACCCGTGAAATTTTACCATTGAGAAATAAGATCGATTATATTAAAATAAGGACCATGAGTCAAGGAGAATCAGCCGACTTCAAGGCAGATTTGAAAAAACGTTTATCGCCCATTCAATACCATGTCACCCAAGAAAAAGGAACGGAAAGGTAACCATTTGTACTAACACGTATAGAAACTAATAAAAATCAATAATTGTTTTTACAGAGCGTTTACCGGCAAGTTTAACAAAACTACAGAAGCTGGTTTGTATACTTGTGTAGTATGCAACGAAACATTATTCACTTCGGAAACAAAATTTGATTCTGGCTGCGGTTGGCCGGCTTTCAATGATGTTATCGATCAGAAAAAAGTGAAACTAACTACTGACACTTCAAATGGTATGTATGTTCAAAGAGTTTCGGTAGTAGCCATGGTTTTGGTAGACTGTTCTCTTTTTTTCTTTTTCTTTATTTTGTATTTGTCGAGGGATTGGAAACGCTACATAGTTAACAACACTTACATTTAATTTATGATTGCTTGTCAGTTGAATATTTGTAATATAATATTACTCTGCTATGATAATATGCTCATGGATTTGATTAAGATCAATTTCTTAAGCTTCTTGAATCTTGATATTGCTCAATGTAAAAATATTTTCAACTTTGTAAGCAACACAATAACAATTTCATAAACTATTAATCAAACATAATAGGTGTTCCTTTTGTATTTTAAAATTTTTGGGTATTAATGTGAAACTTTGCAGGTAGTAGACTAGTGCAATAATCTGTATTTTAGTGTGAATGTTGGTTATGACTTTTTGACGTATTGAGTGCCTTTTTTAAAAATAATTATTTGAAGTGTTTGATATTTAGATGCACTCCTTAGTTGAATATCACATTAATGGAGTAAATTAACTATTTACCTATAAAATATTTCATTTTAATTTATCTATGCTTGTGCAATCTCATTTTTTAATCTTTTAATTTATCATAATTTAATTTGACTAATTAACAATATTATATTTTTCTTAAGCCCCATCAACTATTTTTTAAACAACAGTGTACATATTTATGCTGCAATGTTCAATTTTTGCATAGATAAATAAACTTTAGTAGATAATATATTTTAAAAACTATGCTTTCTTAAATTACCATGTTAAAAAAGTATCAACTAACAATAATTTTCATTTAATTAATATCATTTTATAAAGTGAAACTAACCGAATAATGTTGGAACATACAGTGTTCACGTTAAGATGTACCACTAAATATTTCAGTTTGATGACCTTGTATTGAAATGGGGTTTTCGCTGAATGACAGATAGTACTTAAATACACATTTCAGATAAATTTCAAATTTTTAAGTCTTTCGATACGCGCATGCGCGATACAACTTACTTTTTTTTAAATATTGGGATAGAGTATTTTTTTCTAAATAATTTATGTACAAAAAGCTTTTTTCTTATTACATAATTGGCGTATGAAATTTAACAATGAAATTAAATATTTACGAGGAATAAATGTATAACGAACAGGAATTATACTATCTTAACTACTGGCAAATGTTGTCAAAGTTGTTTTTACTATTTTATCTGTGTGCAAACAGGTAATTAACAATATTGGATATTAATAAGTAACAATAAGTTGAGTTTAGTTTAGATTTTGTCAAAAAAATTATTCGGAAATATAAAATTTCATCATTAAATTTCATATGACAATTTTATAAGTAGAAAAAAATACTCTATCCGAATATGTAAAAAAGTTGATGTTGCCATTTTAAAAAAAGTAAGGTGTATCTCGCATGTGCGTATCGAAAGAGTTAAAAATTTGAAATTTATCGGAAAATGTGTATTTAAGTACTATCTGTTATACAGCGAAAACCCCATTTCAATACAAAGTCATCGAACTGAAATATTTGGTGGTACCTCTTAGCTTGAACATGCTGTATATTTACAAATATGTATTCGCTGTTAATCTTAAATCTCTTATACCGATTAATTGTAATAGGTAATAACTAATGAACATTAGTTATAACATTGCTACAGAGTTCTATAAAAACTAAAATAATTACAAGTTTTATAATGAATACCCAAAAATAGAATTTTCCATTATATTTATATACATATAAAACAATTTATGTGGTGTTGGTGGCGTTTCCTTCATTCCTCGAATATACAAAACAATGCTGTCGCTTTATGACGGTGATGGATACAGTTGGAGCAAATTTGCTGTTATTGATAACCAACCCAGGTATGATAAGAACTGAAGTGCAGTGTGGAAAATGTGATGCACATCTGGGACATGTTTTTAAAGACGGCCCACCACCAACAGGAAGAAGATTTTGTATAAATAGCGCTTCAATGAATTTTCATCCAATAAATCAAGAAAAATAATGATCTTTGCACATGGTAATTACTAATTCATTATTATCATGAGGTTTGGTATAGGTATTATATCAAATCGTAATATATATATTTTTGTTTTTTCCAGAAATATTGGTTATATTTTGTTTGCAGTTACTCACTACATATTTATTAACACAAAATGGATTTTAGTCAACATAAACATGTTAATATTTATTCGTGGAAGTTTCCATAATTTTGTTAAACTAATACTTTATTGTGTCAATGATAATTTAACTATTAATTATCACTTAATAAGAAAATATTGTGATTAATGTAAAATATTTTAATATTTATTTGGAATTGGATAATAAAATGAGTTTGTAAACAATATTTTGTTCTATTTTTCATTGTCAAATGAAATAATAATAATATTGATAAAAAAAAGACAAAACTTTTTGGGATGCTTTTGTACAAATATTCTAAATTATAAAGATGCTAAAATGGAATGTATTTCAAATGTTACACGTGCTAAAAAAAGTATATATATATATATTTACTATATAAATATATATATTATATAATATATCACACACCCAAGAACAAAGAAACATTTTGGAGATCTTAAAAATATTAAATTAATATTTAAAATAAAAGCAATTTCAATAGTTTAAAAATAAAAAATAACCCTAAAAACAAACTTGTTTTGCATTATTTATATGCATATTATTTACACAAAAATTATAAAAAGAAAATTACTAAATAATATATAATATATATGTATATTATAGAGAGAAATATATATAAATATTGCCTTTTTTTTTAATAATGTAAGTTTTAACCAGATTATTATTCTGCCATTAACAATACATGTAATTATGTAAGTTGGAATATATCAAATAGTATTATATATATATTTTTTTTAAGTATTGATACTACATTAAGAAATTTACTCTGCAGTAATTACGAAAGGTGGAAGGAATGTTGTCCTTCCGAGGCAGCAAGTTGTAGTTTTTTTCTCATTAAGTCTATGCTGGAGTAATCTGGTAGTTTCAGGTAGTTTACACATGTCATAACAGATGGTAAGTAATCGTCTGGATTATCGCTATCATCAAATATTCGCCGCACAATTGTCAAAGCAGGAGAAAGTGATTTGAAACCTAAAACATAAAATTGTTTTAAGTTATCATTATAAATATTTTTATTTATTATTTATTTATTTACAGGTTTTAAAACCCTTAAGCAAAATACAAAAGAATTGTGTGTACATTTTCTGCTAAATTTAATAATGATACATATTAAATAGATAAAAAAATTTAAAAAAAAAGGTATGACATGAATAATAGTAAAAAATTAATAAATAACAAAAATAGTAACAGTAATGACTAATGATTAAATAATTCAAAACATTAATTTAAACAAGTAAATAAAGTCACATAAACATTTTATCTTAATACATTACACGGCATAGAGAAAAAATTAACCGGGTCCATTATAAATTTGTCAATCATGCTCTGGGGGAAAATGTGGTAGAAGTATATTTGTGTTCAATTATAAGAACATGAAATAATTTGGATTTATTAATCTGTAAGTGAGTATATAAAAACTAATCAGAGATATTAATTCCCGTGAATAAATAAGACCAATATCAATGCCATATATTATGAACATAATATCGGCCACATTTCCCCTCAAGTCACAAGTCTAATCCCCAATTAGGTAAATCTCAGTGTTATTTGATTCTCTTGAAATGGGTATGATTAATAGTTTTAAACATTTATTAGAGCAGGGCCGATAGCGATATTGGTATTATCGGTTTAATGGTTATTTATTTTTTTTTTTTTTAAACCGATATAATGCAATCATAATAAATTTGTATTTAATGGCGGTGGTAAATGGATATAATGATAATGCTACTTCTGAAAAAGAACCAGAAATAAACTTGTAAGCTAAAATATGTTAACACTAATTAGTTATTAGTAATTAATAAAATAATAAATATCAAGTAGTTTTACTTGTAACTTAAATTTTTATTTTTTAATTAATAATTATTTATTATTTAGTATAGTGATTTCAAGTTTGATTATTGAATATTTTATAACTATGTACCTATTAATATTATATTGTTTTATTTTTATTCAACTAAAAGTACAGTCGGCAAATAAAAGAATGTCGAAAGAGCAGTCAGGCCAAAGTTTTTTAAGTAAATAAATAACATGACCAGGGAACTCAATTTTGATGTTAACATTATGTATAATTAGAAAAATTATTTTAACCCGAAATCTCTTATAACTATAATAGTGCATATATATGTATGTTTACCTCCAACAGGAAGACGTGGCGCTCCAGTAACAAATCTCAAAAAGTCTCTTTGTTGTTGATAATCATACTCTGACAATATTTTGAAAAGAAATCCGATAGCTCTAGAATTTCCTGTATATCCATGGTCCAAGCGACATGACTCTGATAACATACGCACATCCCAATTTTTGGTTGTGTTTGTATGCCCACAAAATATTGCTTCTAACTCTTCAGGATAGAATAATTGTCCAAGGCGTTTAAGAGAGAATACACTTTCAAACCCTTCTCTGAGGCTTTCCATCTGCTTGGAAACACCTTCCCGTAAAAACCAATGACATACCAACTAAAAATCAAATCCAAAATAGTCACCAAAAGTAGAAAACATATTTTTTTCTTTTCTTGATTACCTGAATATATTTTTCCAAATTGTCAATTGTGACATCTATATTTAGACCATTCTTGCGTAATTCAATTGAGGCATGTCCAGGTAATGTAAAATTAAGTCCTAAATCTTCTACTGGACAGCCATCTAAAGTTATTTTTTTAATCTGGAATTTAAAAAAAAAAGTTCAAAGAAATCCCCTAAGAATCATAATTTTTATTTTTTTCATTAAGTTATTGTAATGTAATATACCTTTTCAGTTTTTTGTTCATCATTTAGGGAATTATCAATAAGGATTAGTCTTTTTTCAAGTACTAACTGATGAAGTTGTGATAAAGTTTTGTATATTTCAGGAACTATGTATGAAAGATCGCCAAGGGTAAGATAATTTTCATGGCCTAATAGCCAACGGTACATGGTAATACTCAATGGTAAATCCAGCTTAAAAAAAAATAATATTAATTAATTGATGATATAGCTCAATTTATAATGTTATATCTTACTAGTCTCGAATCCATTATCGCCTTGGCCATAAATTTTCCTAAAAATTTAAATTTTGATTTCATTTTAACTTGATGTGGAAGTTTACTAGTTCGAGATAATGGATTAGGATAAAGTCCTTCGGATGAATAAACATAAGAGTCAGATTCGGATTTTGAAGGATTGTTCCATAATTCTAAATCAGCTTTTTGTAACTCTTTTGAGACTAATGCATAAAATTCTAAGGTTGGACCTAAACCGGTTCCCACCTGAAAAAATTAAATTTAATAATAAGTACATTAAGTCAGTTTAATTTATAATTACTTCATCTTCATATTGTATTTCTAGTAAGGCTCGTGAAGTAGCATTTTCAGATATCACAGCTTCAGCTTGAGAAAGTATATTAGATCTAGTTACTGAACGTTTTCGTCTATCAAGACGTGGTGCAACACGATCATGCATGTCACCATTAGTATTATTTCCAGCACCTTGAAGCTCAGAACTAGAGTCAAGTAAACGTTGCAATGCACGATCCCGGTCAAATACAGTCGCATAAAATAATAATTGTCGTGTTTCAAATGGCAATAAGAATGCACTAAAAAAATTTAAATACATGGAAAATTTAAATATATTTAAGATTTTTTTTTTTTAACTTACCATGCGGATGCAACTTGTTGAAGCCAAGCAGGTAAGTTGCCAGTCATTATTACTAAGGGGTCTTGAAGTTGCCTGTTTGCTTTTGCAGATATTTTAACATTAATAAATTCCTAAAACAAATGGATAGTATCGAACATTATATATATTTTTTTTTATATCAAATTATAGTGGTTACTTACACTAAATGGTATGATAGAATTATTATGAAGTTGTGTTGCGTATAATGAAGTCCAATACCTATTAATGGCGTTTAAAACTCTTAAAAGACTGAGTACCGGCAATGAAGGATCTTGAATTTGAACATACTCAGGCAATGATAACTGAAGATATGGTTCAAGTGATGATTTGACGGGAGACACTACTCCTTCTACAATAACCAAAACAATCATGATTAATATAATTTATTCTTCTATTAGGTTTCAGTCATTATAAAAATATATTAATAATTCAGAATATTTATGTATATGATGTACAAGTTTAGCTTAAAATAAAATAATAAAAATAGATTATTTACCCAACCATAGTTCATCCTTCACTTTTTTAGAGGCACTTTTGTGAGTTCCTGATCTTCCTTTTTTACCTGAAGTGCTAGTAGTAGGTTTAGGTGAATGTACTTCAGTATCTTCTGGCAAAGGTCTTTAAAAAAAATTAGAATAGTGATAAAAACAATGTTATAATATTTTCAATATAATTGTATGTCTAGAAAAATAAATTAAATGTAATTCAGTTATTGAATATAATATTGAGGCAGAACTTAATAATGACAACCTAACAGTCTATTTTTTATATACAGTCATTTTTTGTCTGGTAATTAAGTGTTAGCAAGAAATGTAAAGTTTCCTGTGTTTCTCCTCCAATGTATTATTATTATATAAATTATATTTATTAAACGTTATAAATATATTATAACTATGGTCTATGAAAATTAATTTGTCAATGAAGAAACCAAGAACGTTAAGATCATGTAATAAATAAGAACTTAGTTCAAGTTCAAAGTTAATTTCTTGAAAATTGAACTCATTCATGTCAAGTGCAAACAATATGAACGCATGAATTTCTATCACTGTTAACTAGTGTTTAAAGTATGAAATATTTCACTATATGGTAAAGTATTTTACAAAAACGTAAAACATTGAATTTTTTTTTAACACTAATAAAAACTCTATTTATTTATTTTTTTAACACAATGTTCAGTGTTCTAAATTCTAATGTCAGAATTCAGTAGGTATAC